CCAGGAACGCGTTACGTTACGCTCGGAGCTGTGTCTTGTTACATTTTTCATTGAAATAATGGTTTTTATTTACTTAATCACAATTCAAGAACCGCTTTATTTAAACCAATATGATTTTGAATTTATCTTTTATTTCAATACTCTCCTTTTTTCTTTGAATTTTATCATCAAAAATGTTCGGACCGCTTAAATGGAGAACAACCAGTGTTGCCATTTTGCAAGAATTGATACTGTATAGACCGCTGTTACGGGTGCGTTGCAAGTGGGGAACGAGGTAAGAAAATCCTTTAACTAGCGTTACGTGTGTATGATGAACGACCCATTTTTTCAAATCATCGTGTGGCTCATACCGCATTCGAAACCGTTGTCAACTTACACACAACTGGACTAAATTTTGCAATTTGGAACTTTAATTTTTGGCTCAGCTTCGAAACAACGTATGTGCCGTTAGTTTCCCTAGGCATATAAGTGCTTTTATGGATGAGCCAGAAATTACGGTTCCTAATTGCGAAATGTCATCCAACTCGTCTTCATTCTATATGCGCGTTCACGCGTGCATAGAATAAAGACGAGTTGGACGAGTTTTGACCTCCTCGTCGTCCGTGAGTAATGCCAGAATATTTCAGAATTTTCCAAAAAGAATTTAACTGTTGAATTTGTCTTGTATTTTGTGCAGGAATTTTCCAAAGGAGGGAGAACAGAAAATTCTTGTATGGACTCAAGTTTTTCAAGATTATCGGCTGGGGCGTGGAGGACGGCAAGAAGTATTGGCTCTGCATGCATACGTGGGACACGTGGGGTGACAAAGTTTTTAAATTTCCGCGAGGAGAAGATTATGACTTCATCGAATGGAGGCCGAGCGCTGGACTTTTCGACAACATGGACTGAGGGAGAACGCAACATTTGGATTACATTTTGCAATAAGGAAGGAACCCCTATTTCTTGCCCATTTTAGAAACAACATACGTGTCATTGGTTTCCCTATGCAGATATGTGCTTTTATGGAAGAGCCAGAGATAGTGGTTCTTTATTGCAAAGTGTAACCAATTTGATTTAGCTGTCTTTTGAATGGACCACTAGACAAGGTACAAATTCAAGCAATCTGATACATGATTCTTCACCAGAATTTCATGTAGAACACGATTCGCACAACGAAAATTACTGAAACCAACTCCTAACAAAGATATTAACGTTTTTATTTCACATTAGTTACGAGGAATTTGAACTGCCCGCTCACAAGAAACTCATAGCTCTTCGCGAGTCAAATCGTGCACTACAACGATTTCAGCAAGCTTCTCAATCGAGCAATGTTTATTTCCCACCATGTGCTGTTCAAACTATTAGCAATATGCTACAGCTGAGCCAAAGCGTCAAGATTGAGGTTGCCAGATTTTTACATCGCAGAGACTATCATGATAATGTTTAGCGCGCGATGTGAATCTCGTAGAGCATTGAGTATTAATGAGCGGGTGGTTTGAATGCACGCATCAGGAATCACTAAATATGTTTGTAAAGAATTGATTTCGGTAATTTTTGTTATGCACATCGTGTTTTTCGTGAAACTTTGGTTAAGAAACTTGTATCAGAATGCTGAAGTTCGTACCTTGTCCTTGTCTAGTGGTCCATTAGGATGGACCAAATATTCATCGTTTGTGACTTTCAGGGAAATTGACCATTTGGACAACATTTTGCAATTAGCAACTGCAATTTCCGGCTCTGTTTAAAAACAACGATTTTATCATTAGTTTACCAATATACATGAGTGTTTTTACGGTCGAGCCAAAAATTGTGGTTCCTAGTCGCAAAATGTAGTCTATTTCACTTTTGTGACTTGCACGTGCCGCAGGCAATTAGCAATCGCCACTACGTAGCAAACCACGTTAGGAACTACAATTTCTGGATCATCCGAAAAAATACCCGTGTGCATAGGGAAACAAATGGCACATACGTTCTTTCCAAGCTGAGCCAAAAATTTAATTCCTAATCGTGAAATGAAGTCCACTTGTTGTTTCGAAACAATCGTAATGATTCGCATCGGCATTAGAGGGTTGGATTAATGATGCTCTTGAAACGCACAATCGTGGCCTCAAGCGCCTTCATGTTGCAGCGATACTCTACGCTTTGTTGCAGAGTTAGTTTAGTTGCCTATCTGATCCAAACCCACCTGAAGTCACCGATTTCACTACACACTACACTCAAATAAGTATTCTTCCTGCAGTCATGAATTTATTGATAACGGAAAAGTTCAATTCAATTTCAAGACAAAATAATCAGTATACTGTAATAACTTGTTCTTTATTGTTGCTGAATTGCATGTTTTTTTTTTTTTTATTTATGAAGATTGTGCACATTTTTGAACTTTGCTTATTGATATTAAGAGAGGGAAGAAATTACGCACTATTTGCACAGATAGGTGCTTTTCCTTTTCTTAAAAATATTCAGCAATGAATACCGCCAATTACTTACCAAGTATGTTAACCAATTTTACTGACTGAAACATTAACAATTCAGGATTTCCGACAGAGTTACTCGCAAATAAGAAAAAAAGTTGATTGAATTTTATGGAAAATAAATGTGATTCAAATCACTGGATAGACAATCTTTATTTTGCATCTCTCTTTTTCTCCTTTTTTCTTGTCTTGCTGCACACCATACATCATATACGACTTGAGCCAAATAATTAAAACTATTATAACTATACGTCTCCTCTAGATTAAGTTTTCAGCGCGGAGGACTGCACGACAAGCTTCTAAAAAGTGTGCAATGTATTTCACGATTCTTAAAATTATTTAAATCATTCTCTTTATTAGATACAGGTATAGCCGTCATAGTTGTAGTTGTTAAATAGTGACTTAATTTACTCGCAAATAACTTCCATCAGTTTCCTTGAAATTCTGATTTATATTACAATTTTTTACTATGTGAAAAGAACCAATGCGATGGAGTCAAGCAATATGGCCTATGAAGTGAAAAAATAAAAATAAAATGACACGAAATGACAGGCAAAGAACACCCATCAATTCCAAAACTGACCCTTTGCGAGAGAGATATATTGGGAATGGACCACTAGACAAGGTACTAGTTTAAACAATCTGATTCATGTTTCTTAACAAGAATTTCACGTAGAACATGATTCGTGCAACGAAAATTACTGAAACCAACTCCTAAAGAAGATATTAATGTTTTTATTCCACATTGGTTACGAGAAATTTGAACTGCCCGCTCAGAAGAAACTCAAAGCTCTACGTGAGTCAAATCGAGCACTACAGCGGTTTCAGCAAGCCTCTCAGTCAAGCAATATACATTTCCCACCACGTGTTGTTTAAATTACAAGCAATTTGCTATAGCTGAGCCAGAGTGTCAAGATTGAGGTTGCCAGATTTTTATATAGCAGAGACTGCCATGATAACGTTCAGCGCTCGATGTGAATCACGTAGCGCATTGAGTTTTCATGACCGGGTGGTTTGAATTCACGCATCAAGAATCACTAAATAGCTTCGTAAGGAGTTAATTTTTGTAATTTTCGTTGTGCGCATCGTGTTTTACGTGAAATTTTGGTTGATTGACATGTATCAGAATGCTGAAATTCGTACCTTGTCTAGTGGTCCATTCGAGAAAAACCCGTTGAGTCTGCCGGTCACGGCAGATTCCCAATGTATCGTTCTCTAACTTTCAAAGGGATCAGTTCTGGAATTTATGGGTGTTCTTTAGGTGTCATTTGATGTCGTTTTATTTTTATTTTTTCACCCTAATGATCGTATTGCTCGGCGTGTGTTCATGGCGTTTTTCCTTGGCGTGGCAGATCGCTAGGCAGTGGCGATTCTCAAGTTACTAAGGTTTCGTCCATTGAGAGCTTTGTGGAACAATCAGTGGCGTGGCGTGCTTTGCGATCTATCGATATTTCCCCGTTTGAAGCTGTGGTAAATAATCGATTATGAAGGTGTTCGCTGTGTATCGACACTTTTCCATAGGTTTAAATGGCCGATCAATCGATAAATCGCAAAGCACGCCACGCCACTGGAAATAATCAGTATTTATTGGAGCAGACTGTCTCACCTACAGAATCGATTATTTAATTGATTTGAATAGACATTGCTTCCAACGTGCAAGAATCGTCACATTTGAATCCCATGAGACACGCGTTGCCTTTCTCATTGATATACATTCAAAAAGAAGAAATACAATGGGAAATGTTCATATTAGTACATACGCCGAAAATACGGGATGCTGCTTTAGCATTCTGGATGTAAAAAAGTGTGCGACAACTCACAAAGTGCTGAATTAACCGTAGCAGTTATTTTTACATCTTGAAATCGCTAAAGTAACTGCTGTAGTGGTTCATTCAGCGTTTTGTGAATTTTCGCGCACTTTTTACATCCAGAGTGTTAAATCAGCATTCTTTTTTTTTCGGTGCACCATGATTTTCCATGTTTTCCCCATTTTTTCCCTGTCTTCAGTTTTAACGTAGTTTCATTTCCATATTTATTATTTTTCTTCAGTTTCAATTAAGAAAATCCACTTTTAGTTCATTCACCCTTTTGATCTCTTATCTAAACTCTTAATGATGAATTCTTGATCAATAAAATTAGAGATAGCCGGATCGGACGAACAGGATCTTATCATCTGACCGCGTAACCGAAGCTGTCACAGAGGCTATGAAAGCCTTTGCTAGCAAGGACTCGAGAGAAGTAACGCACAGGAAGTTTTAGGAATGAAGAAAATATCCAGCAACACCAATTTTGCCTCTGACGTAGTGCTCAAGGTCGGTTCTAGTATACCCTTGGTACCGGGTCATATATATATATATATATATATATATATATATATATCGCTTTACAGGTACCGGGTGACATAAAAAAACAAAACAAAAAATCAGAATTGAGGTCTTTTTCTACATTTTAGACCCGAAAACCTATGTCACGCTCCTCGCTTATTTTCGAGCGTTTTTCAATCAAGTACACATGTTACATTCTTAACTCTTTCAAAAATAAGTGTTTTTCCTTGCATCTCAAAATGAACAGTGATCTTCATCTGGTGAATCTTGTGTTGCGAACATGCTGATACCTTCCTCGCTCCCCTCCCTATCATTTTTAACCAGTGGCGTGGCGTGAATTGCGATAAATCGATTGTTACGCCATTTAAACCTATGGTGAAGAATCGATTATTCAGGTGTTCGCTGCGAACACCCTGTTTATCGATCCTTTTCCATAGGTTTAAATGCCATACCAATCGATATATTGCAATCCACGCCACGCCACTGTATTTAACATGCTATACCGAAACCGGCATATTTAGTTCATATCATTTGACGTGGTGCCTCTATTTCGGTCTCTTATATTCAAGTCTGGTTTAACATTGTGCCCTCAACCCTCATGAATGCTCTATATTGTTCAACGGAAAGTGAAAAATTATAAATAGAGTTCAGGAACGATTAAAGAAGATTGTGAATGGTGTAGAAATGATTTTATTTTTTCCTTCAAATTCTTTATCATTAGTGGTATACAAAGTTATTCCTACAGATTTTCATCCACGAGGGGCATAAAACTTGATTAGGTATATATCTGTGGACTTTTGACGATGTAATCACGCCAAAAACGATCGAAGAAGAGGCACATGGAACTTTGGTGACATTTTAAAATAATTAAATAAATAAATTTAATATAAATTTAATTTAATTTAATTTATCAAAATGAAAACTTGGAAAAAGTAGAATTAGGAATCCATATTCGTCCATTAGGTGTAAACTTGAAACAAAGTGCTGAGAGAGAAAGTTGGACCAACTTTCTGGAAGAAATTCATCGTCTGCGGGATCATCCTATGTCAGTGGCGTGGCGTGAATTGCGATGTATCGATTGTTATGCCATTTAAACCTATGATAAAGAATCGATTATTAAGGTGTTCGCTGCGAACACCCTGTTTATCGATACTTTTCCGTAGGTTTAAATGGAATCACAATCGATATATCGCAAAGCACGCCACGCCACTGCCCTATGTGTCATATTCAATCGAGGTCTTCAAAGACTCCTGCCGTCGGAAATAACTCAATGTACCAATAGTTGATTCCTCTTGGAACTTTAAAGACTTTATTGTCACCCCAGCTGTCCCAGGTGTTCACAGCGAGCCAATATTGGACATCGTCCTCCACTCCCCATCCGATCAACTTCATGAACTTATAGAAGCTCAAAAATTTCGCTTTTCGATCGACCCAGTATATTCCTGAAAAAATGTATCAAAATATCAAATGCAAACTCATCAGCAAACGCTTTTTTAATCAGTGAAAAATTTTAATAGATAACCGATTTTGAAACTCATTAAAGAGCGTATTTGTAAACTCCTACCCAAAGTGATCCGAAAATTGGGCAAGAGCAAAGTAAGACTGTTTTATTTGGAGAAAAACTGCGCATTATATACCAGATTGCTCTAAATGTCATTTTAAATTAGTTATATTGCTCCAAAATTATTCTGCATCGAGAAAAAATGTTCATTTCATCGATTGCTTAACTGCGAAACCACGCATCTCCGTATACGACGTTGCAGACTTCCGGTCATACTTTATTTTTTCTTTGAAAAACTAGTCTTCGTCATTCCTTGAAAAATTTCTTCAATTATCTCCTCGTTTAGAGGATTTTATTGTATACATCAAGCTATACAGTTAGGTACATTTTATCGCCAAACTTGGCTGGCTAAGCTGTAGAGAACACGGTAATTGATTAAAAAATCGAGCTCGATTTCTGACTCAAATACCATGCTCTACCAAGTTAGCTTGTTGCTCTCCGAGAAAATATATAATATGAGCGGAAATTTTGAAACGCTGCATTTGAGATACGCGGTTCCGCACTTTGGCCATCAATATACACACGGTAATGATACAAAAGAGCCAGTGACTCACTACCTATTTAACCACTCATATTTTATCAGTGCTTTCGACCTTCATTTTATGAATATATTTCAAGTATATGTACTTAAAGTATAATTTACCTTTTGGTTTCTCAAGTAAGTCCTCAAACAATTCCATTGATGTTGCCACGGATCCGTAGGTCATTATTTCATTCCGAATGATATATTCTTCGTTGGACACCCAATACCAGGTTGTCGCTGAAACAACATAGGCATATAAAGAGTGAACAAAAATTAAGTAAAAATTTCCATCATTAAACGATACAATATGAAAACATTAGACAGTGGATCCTAGCGTGTCCGTCTGTTCGTGTCCACGACGTAAGCTTTTTCACTTATGCATTTGCACACATCAATCAGTGGCGTGGCGTGAATTGCGATGTATCGATTGTTCTGCCATTTAAACCTTTGGTGAAGAATCGATTAATAAGGAGTTCGCTGCGTACACCCTGTTCATCGATCTTTTTCCATAGGTGTAAATGGCAGAACAATCTATATATCGCAAAGCACGCCACCCCGTTATCATCAATCGGCGGAACTACGCAGTGGCGATTCTTGTAAGTTGCCAACACTGTCCCTCCTACATTCAAAAATATGTTAAACAATCGATTCTTGGTGAAGTAGCTTGTCTCACTAAAATCGATATTTTTAAATATATTTAAATGGTGGAAAAGCAGTATTACCAACTGGCAAAGTTGCCGCTGCCACAGTTCGCATTGCCTAATTTCCTGTCGCTTTTTTTGTCCTTAATAGATAACTTAACTTCATGACCAGTGTCGAGGTGTCAATGATCGATCATCGATATTTCCCCCATTTGAAGCTGCGGTAAAGAATCGATTATTAATATTTTCGTTATGAACACCCTGTCTATCGATCCTTTTCTATAGGTCTAAATGGCAGATCAATCGATACATCGCATATCACGCCACGCCATTGATCGTAACGTGAAATTTTTCGTGAATTATTCGTGGTTTATATTTTGTAATACGAAGGGCTAAAGTGTGGAACCGCATATCTCCTTTTGCGACGTCGCAAAATTCCTGTCATACTTTATGTTTTCTTCAGAAAAGTAGTCAGCCTATTGTCTTGAAAATTTCTTTTATTTGTATTCTCTATCGGCAGAATATTCTGTATAGATTTCAAGCCATGAAATTCGCTTGTTTCCTTTGCAAATAAATTAAAGCAAGCAAGACAATTAGACAAAGTTTTTATATTCAGGCTAAATTCTGGTGAATCCCTTCAAATTCAACCGTACAAGTATATTTTCCATAGAGAAAACTTAGATTGACCAACGTATCCTGAAAAGGATCGTGGTTGCATAGAGAAAAAAAAAAGGAGGTGTTTGCATTTCGGACATCTTGGAATTTTTTGATGACTTGATGACGTAGGTGGGTACAGCGACGTTTAGCTTAATATGAAAAACGGACCATAATGTCCGATTTTTTTACTTAAATCAACTCATTATATAATTTCAAGCACTTTTTATAGAATGACTTTTTTCCTTAAATTACACCATTTCCAAGAAAATCGACAGGATAAAAACGTCGCCTGTACCCACCTACGTCATCAAGTCATCAAAAAATTCCAAGATGCCCGAAATGCAAACACCTCCTTTTTTTTCTCTATGTCGTGGTTGCATCCCAGCTAAGCTAACTGAGAGCAAGATAGTGCCCACTTACTTCTTTTACGATCCGCGTCCAAAGATTTTTGGTATTTGGGGTTGGAGCATTTCTTAGGACATACTCGATCGTAATATAATTCTTCGTTGCAGGGTTTTAACTTTTTGCCGTGACCGTTTTGATAGGTGTGGTAGGTGTCATTACTGTGAAAGCATGGCTGGTCAGGATTGGGGTAGCAACCCTAAAACCGAGAGGAAACTATTGGTCAGTTTTTGCCACAGAAACTTTAAAAAAAATCGAATAAGAATAATAGAAAGGTGAGACAAACAAAAATTATCTAAACCTAAAAAGCACGCACCATTTTGCAATTCGGAACTACAATTTTTGGCTTCTTTATGGAAACACCTATGGATGTAGGGAAACAAATGGTGCATGCATTATTTTTACAGTGAGCTAGAAATTTTAGTTCGTAATTGCAAAAAGCAGTCCATATGTCGTATAAGCCTTCAAAAGTTGCAAGATTTCTTCGATAAACCACTAACTTTCAAGGAAATCTATGCATGCTTTTCATCAAATTCTTCCGATGATTTTATTCGAAAGTTTATTGACAGCGTTACAAAATTTTATTGAGGAAATTCCATAACTTCTCTAATTTAGCTTGTTTAGGGAAACTTTGGCTTACGAATGTTAATACAACGCTATTAATTAAACAGGGGGCTATGCCCCCTGGCCGCTACGCGGCCCAACCCCCAGAGGGCGCTTCGCGCTCTATTAGGCCCGCTTCGACATAAGAACGACCAAAAAATGAAAAGATTTTCATACTTGGCTCTCATTTGTCCAATCTTCCCCTGGCAGGGAGCGATTGAACCAATAAGAATCGAATAAAAAAATCGACATTTATTTCATACTTCTCGCAAAGACTGAAAGGAAACGGAACAAGGCGTTTCATTGCTGTTGGATAGTCTCCACCAAAGGAGCATACCTTCTATTCACCTTCCTTACCCTACTAAGAAACCAAGATTCTGCATTTCCCCCTTACAAGGGGAACTTCCCAAGCTGCCGCCTCCGATCGGGCTGAAAAAATTCATACGAACTCTTTGGATGAATTTATTTGACCCGTATTTTTTTGTTTTTTCCAACGCCCCCTAGAAACCCCCCAAAAAAATTCCGGAAAGTCTTGCTTTGAGCGCTCGAGTGTATATACGTAGTATGGCAATCAGACCGTATCAGTCGGCGGTGGCTCTACGGTAGCGCGCTTGACCGGTGTTTCAGCAGTCCCGGGTTCGAATCCCGGGCGCCACGCCCATTTTTACGACCGAATTTTATATTCTCACACATTTTCACATCGAATCCCATTTAATACAGTGGAACTTAAAACATCAATTAATTTACAACCATCATCAAACACAAATTGATCTACGATCAATAACTTCTTCAATTTGAAGTATAGATTTTTTTTGGGGAGGGGGGGGGGGGTCACGCGCGCGATATTCTCGCCAGTCACTGTACTTTCACATTAGCAGACGACCCGCTCCGCCCCCTCACATCAACATATTTCTCCCGATCACCCGTATGCGTCATGATTTTTCCCATCATTATCCAGAAAATGATAATGAAAAATTGCTTCGAACATTCAAATTAAAAATGCTACAATTTTTCATTATCATTTTCTGGATAATGATGGGAAAAATCATGACTCATACGGGTGATCGGGAGAAATATGTCGATGTGAGGGGGCGGAGCGGGTCGTCTGCTAATGTGAAAGTACAGTGATTGGCGAGAATATCGCGCGCGTGACCCCTCCCCCCTCCCAAAAAAAAATCTATACTTCAAATTGAAGAAGTTATTGATCGTAGATCAATTTGTGTTTGATGATGGTTGTAAATTAATTGATGTTTTAAGTTCCACTGTAGTAAATGGGATTCGATGTGAAAATGTGTGAGAATATAAAATTCGGTCGTAAAAAAATAGGCGCGGCGCCCGGAATTCGAACCCGGGACCGTTGAAACGCCGGTCCAGCGCCCTACCGTAGTGCCACCGCCGACTGACAAGAAATGGTTGCCATACTACGTATATAGACTCGAGCGCTCAAAGCAAGACTTTCCGGAATTTTTTTGGGGGGTTTCTAGGGAGCGTTGGAAAAAACAAAAAAATACGGGTCAAATTAATTCATCCAAAGAGTTCGTATGAATTTTTTCAGCCCGATCGGAGGCGGCAGCTTGGGAAGTTCCCCTTGTTAGTTCAATTTTCCGCTAAATTTGAAATTCCCGCCATTTTTTACTGGCGGGAATTTCAAATGTTGTCTCCCTTTTTAAGCTTTCTGGTCTTCTCTTATATAAAAAAATCTAGATCCTATTTCCAAAATCTGCATATAGCGGGCTCTTTTAGGACCTGTCGCCTGTCGATAACCGCAAGAATCATGGAAATCGGCCTGGTAGAACGCTCAAACGAACTATGACAAAAATTATAAATTTACATTGTTTGAATGGGAAAATTCGCAACTTTTCCATGTAATGTAAAAAAACTGGGTCATATTATGACAATCTGAATAAAGCGGGCTCATAAAGAGACTATTGCCCGTCGATAGCCGCAAATATTATGAAAATCGGCCCGGTAGAACGCTAGAACTAAGCGTTACCAGTTATGCAAAATTAGGAGGCTTCGGAGCTTATAGTATAGACAAGGCAGAATATCAATTTACAAATAGTTGAGGGAAAAATTCTAAAATTTTCTTGACAAGTGGCGAACTTCATGAGAATCCGCCTATCGTTGATGAGGGGAAGGGCGTGAAATTTTAAAAAATAAAATAAAAAAAAAATTGTCAAGTGTCATCCCTATCCTGTAGCACGGAGAGGTTTCAACCTCATTCATGATAGAAAACAATTAATATTTTGTCCCTCATAGTCTAATATTACTCTTGAAATTTTTGACGTTACACTGATACAAATATAGGAGTTCATTAATCATAATTCCTCGTAGTGCATTTATGTCTTTCTCAGCATAGGTTAAAGTAACGTGTGGATCAAAAAACCCAATGAACTCTCATTGGATGCACTCCTCGCGGCCCCGACCCCCTTCACCGAAAAAAAGTGAAGTTTATTTAAAATTCTTGATGTAAAAAAAATTATGCGAGGACTTATAAAATGCTGATTTACCCGCCACAATAGATACTTCAGTATCGACCACCTATGGTCGAGATATCCCGACTGGCGGGTAATTCAGCATTTTATAAGTTCTTGCCCACTTTTTTACATTCAGAATGTGAAAACAACTTCACTTTTTTCAGTGTTTCCTTCAATGACACACTCTTTTCATGCTTCCATAATTCCTTCGAGTGTAGTGTATTTCACTCCTCTGCCTGGAGTCATTCATTCCGGCTAAACTTTCCTTCTTTTAACTAACAAGAACTCCGATTAAACGGCCAATTTCTGACAGTGTATCTCTCGGACACACTATTTTCTGTCCAAGAAACAATTAATCTCGAATGCAGGGGTAATTGTACTGCATTTTGCAATTCGGAACTATAAAGTCTGGCTCTTCTGGAAAAACACTTAAGCGCATAGGGAAACTAATGCCACAAACGTTCTTTTTAAACCAGGTTAGAATTCACAGTTCCAAATTGCAAAATATAGTCCAATTAAGACCTGTAAGTCTAATCGTTTTGGACGAACCTTCTTTGAGCCATAAGCACCGCCGGTGGGGATCCCATGGTCCACAGTATAATTCCAGGATTTCTGAATGCGGGGTTCATTGGTGCAGGTTTCCGCACAAGTCAGAACATATTGTGACAAGGGCTCCTTCACGGCTCCGTTCGAGAAAATGCACATCCGGTCCGTCATAATCGAGGCAACCACTGCTGGCTGTACAAAAATGGAATAGTAACTTTTGCAATTTTCAAAATCAGCAATGGGCCTATAAACACCCTGGTAAAACTTGACGATAGGAGCTGCGTTTCAAAATACCATATAGGAGTTCTTAAAGCCGACTAAAGAAGGCTATTGAAAATCATATAGCTGGCTGTAGAAAGAGGAGCAAATCATACATATAGCCGGGCTATACGAAGCTAAAAAAAAGTATACAGTCGGGCTATAGTTCCTATCGCTGGGCTTTACACTTTATCGCCATTGGCTATAAAAGGCTATAAGAAATTGTGTAGAAATTCGTGTGCTTTGGAAATCATTAAGTTTGATACGGAACTACCTTAATATTTACAAAACACACATTATATTTTACTTTAAAACCTATTTGTTTTTCATTAATTAAAATGAGAATAATCCACACAAAGTGTGCAAACATTTCAAAATCTTGAGTTAAAAAACGCTGACTCCGCGAGAATCAATATTAGAGCCCAACACAAAGCGGAGCGGCGACGCGACGCACTAGCGCCTACAAACCTAACAGGGATACTTCACGCATTGCGCAATGCGTGAAGTATCCCTGTTAGGTTTGTAGGTGCCAATGCGCGTTTCGCGCTCTCTGCCCGCCCGCGGCGCCGCAGCGTGCCACGGCGTCTAAAACAACTATTTCACACCAGAGGTATTGCACAGTATCATAAGAAATTGAAGGCGCTCCGACATATTAAGAATGACCGGCAACCTTCAAAAGTACGGAGCTTTCCTCACAAAATAAATCAAGATACTACGGCACAAAAAGAGAGCGGTAGTCAAAAACTAACTAAGTCCTGGAATCCATATTTAGTAACGCTTAGTATAAACTTTATCGTCTGATTGTTCCTTAATCGCCATCGGCTATAAAAGGCTATAAGAAATTGTACGGCCGGCTACTGAAGCTATTGGAAATCTTAGAGCCGGCTTTAGGTCTATAGTATTTTGGAACACACATTCTACTGCCAATTTTTACCAGAGCAAGACGGTCATTTTTCTATAAACAGAACTATATGAAAATTATGAAGCGCTGAATCTTCTAGACGCCAAGAATCCTCTAGATCAGTTTCCGGATCACGCTGTATCATCGCTTCCTTTCTCGATCAGGGCTGACCGATGCCAACCGTGCAAATTGGGAATTCCCCGACCACGAACTGCCGCCCCCATTCGAACAAAGCGTCGATGAGCCGTGCAGGTCGGCTATTTGGAACACCCTGTATCCGCGCTTTCCGCCTCCGACGGGGACGACTGCTGCCAACCGTGAAAACTGAAAATTCACCAAGTTGATACCGGGCTCCCTAGCAACAAGGATCCGTCGAAGAATGGGATTACTTTTAGGAACACGCTGTATCTACGCACTCTCCTTTTTTCGGGATGACTGCTGCCAACCATGAAAATTGAGACTTCACCGAGTTCATAGTTGGCTCCTGGGAAACTGGGATCCCTGGAAAATCGAGATCATCTTTAGGAACACTCTGTATCTACACACTCTCCTTTATTCCGAATGACTGCTGCCAACCGCGCTAATTGAGAAGTCACCGTAACGAAAGCGTGCCTCTCTTGCCAGCAAGCATCCAAAAATCATCGAGATCAGATTTCGGAACACGCTGTATCATAGCTTCCTTTCTCGATCAGTGCTGACCGATGCCAACCGTGCAAATTGGGAATTCCCCGACCACGAACTGCCGTCCCCATTCGAACGAAGCGTCGATGAGCCGTGCAGGTCGGTTATTTGGAACACCCTGTATCCGCGCTTTCCGCCTCCGACGGAGACGACTGCTGCCAACCGTGAAAACTGAAAATTCACCAAGTTGATACCGGGCTCCTTAGCAACAAGGATCCGTGGAAGATTGGGATCACTTTTAGGAACACGCTGTATCCAAGCACTCTCCTTTTTTCGGGATGACTGCTGCCAACCATGAAAATTGAGACTTCACGGAGTTCATAGTGGGCTCCTGGGCAACGGAGATCCCTGGAAAATCGAGATCACCTTTAGGAACACTCTGTATCTACACACTCTCCTTTATACCGAATGACTGGTGCCAACCGCGCTAATTGAGAAGTCACCGTAACGAAACGTGCCTCTCTTGCCAGCAAGCATCCAAAAATCATCGAGATCAGATTTCGGAACACGCTGTATCATAGCTTCCTTTCTCGATCAGTGCTGACCGATGCCAACCGTGCAAATTGGGAATTCCCCGATCACGAACTGCCGCCCCCATTCGAACAAAGCGTTGATGAGCCGTGCAGGTCGGTTATTTGGAACATCCTGTATCCGCGATTTCCACCTCCGACGGGGACGACTGCTGCCAACCGTGAAAACTGAAAATTCACCAAGTTGATACCGGGCTCCCTAGCAACAAGGATCCGTGGAAGAATGGGATTACTTTTAGGAACACGCTGTATCTACGCACTCTCCTTTTTTCGGGATGACTGCTGCCAACCATGAAAATTGAGACTTCACCGAGTTCATAGTTGGCTTCTGGGAAACTGGGATCCCTGGAAAATCGAGATCATCTTTAGGAACACTCTGTATCTACACACTCTCCTTTATTCCGAAAGACTGCTGCCAACCGCGCTAATTGAAAAGTCACCGTAACGAAAGCGTGCCTCTCTTGCCAGCAAGCATCCAAAAATCATCGAGATCAGATTTCGGAACACGCTGTATCATCGCTTCCTTTCTCGATCAGTGCTGACCGATGCCAACCGTGCAAATTGGGAACTCCCCGATCACGAACTGCCGCCCCCATTCGAACAAAGCGTCGATGAGCCGTGCAGGTCGGCTATTTGGAACACCCTGTATCCGCGCTTTCCGCCTCCGACGGGGACGACTGCTGCTAACCTTGTAAACTGAAAATTCACCAAGTTGATACCGGGCTCCCTAGCAACAAGGATCCGTCGAAGAATGGGATTACTTTTAGGAACACGCTGTATCTACGCACTCTCTTTTTTTCGAAATGACTGCTGCCAACCATGAATATTGAGACTTCACCGAGTTCAAAGTGGGCTCCTGGGCAACACGGATCCCTGGAAAATCGAGATCACCTTTAGGAACACTCTGTATCTACACACTCTCCTATATTCCGAATGACTCCTGCCAACCGCGCAAATTGAGAAGTCACTGTAACTAAAGCGTGCCTCTTTTGGCAGCAAGCATCCAAGAATCTTCGAGATCAGTTTTCGGAACACGCTGTATCATCGCTTCCTTTCTCGATCAGTGCTGACCGATGCCAACCGTGCAAATTGGGAATTCCCCGATCACGAACTGCCGCCCCCATTCGAACAAAGCGTAGATGAGCCGTGCAGGTCGGTTATTTGGAACACCCTGTATCCGCGCTTTCCGTCTCCGACGGGGACGACTGCTGCCAACCGTGAAAACTGAAAATTCACCAAGTTGATACCGGGCTCCCTAGCAACAAGGATCCGTGGAAGAATGGGATTACTTTTAGGAACACGCTGTATCTACGCACTCTCCTTTTTTCGGAATGACTGCTGCCAACCATGAATATTGAGACTTCACCGAGTTCAAAGTGGGCTCGTGGGCAACACGGATCCCTGGAAAATCGAGATCACCTTTAGGAACACTCTGTATCTACACACTCTCCTATATTCCGAATGACTGCTGCCAACCGCGCAAATTGAGAAGTCACTGTAACTCAAACGTGCCTCTCTTGGCAGCAAGCATCCAAGAATCTTCGAGATTAGTTTTTGGAACACGCTGTATCATTGCTTCCTTTCTCGATCAGTGCTGACCGATGCCGACCGTGCAAATTGGGAATTCCCCGATCACGAACTGCCGCCCCCATGCGAACAAAGCGTTGATGAGCCGTGCAGGTCGGTTATTTCGAACAACCTGTATCCGCGCTTTCCACCTCTGATGGGGACGACTGCTGCCAACCGTGAAAACTGAAAATTCACCAAGTTGATACCGGGCTCCCTAGCAACAAGGATCCGTCGAAGAATGGGATTAATTTTAGGAACACGCTGTATCTACGCACTCTCCTTTTTTCGGAATGACTGCTGCCAACCATGAATATTGAGACTTCACCGAGTTCAAAGTGGACTCCTGGGCAACACGGATCCCTGGAAAATCGAGATCACCTTTAGGAACACTCTGTATCTACACACTCTCCTTTATTCCGAATGACTGCTGCCAACCGCGCTAATTGAGAAGTCACCGTAACGAAAGCGTACCTCTCTTGGCAGCAATCATCCAAGAATCTTCGAGATCAGTTTTTGGAACACGCTGTATCATCGTTTCATTTCTCGATCAGTGCTGACCGATGCCAACCGTGCAAATTGGGAATTCTCCGATCACGAACTGCCGCCCCCATTCGAACAAAGCGTCGATGAGCCGTGCAGGTCGGTTATTTGGAACACCCTGTATCCGCGCTTTCCGCCTCCGACGGGGACGACTGCTGCCAACCGTGAAAACTGAAAATTCACCAAGTTGATACCGGTCTCCCTAGCAACAAGGATCCGTGGAAGAATGGGATTACTTTTAGGAACACGCTGTATCTACGCATTATCCTTTTTTCGGAATGACTGCTGCCAACCATGAATATTGAGACTTCACCGAGTTCAAAGTGGGCTCCTGGGCAACACGGATCCCTGAAAAATCGAGATCACCTTTAGGAACACTCTGTATCTACACACTCTCCTATATTCCGAATGACTGCTGCCAACCGCGCAAATTGAGAAGTCACTGTAACTCAAACGTGCCTCTCTTGGCAGCAACCATCCAAGAATCTTCGAGATCAGTTTTTTAACACGCTGTATCATTGCTTCCTTTCTCGATCAGTGCTGACCGATGCCAACCATGCAAATTGGGAATTCCCCGATCACGAACTGCCGCCCCCATGCGAACAAAGCGTTGATGAGCCGTGCAGGTCGGTTATTTGGAACATCCTGTATCCGCGCTTTCCACCTCCGATGGGGACGACTGCTGCCAACCGTGAAAACTGAAAATTCACCAA